TTTTTCCCAGGATTTTTTTCTAGTTTTGGTTTTTGGGGGAGCATGTGGCTGGAGGGAGACTCAGAATCGTACATGATTCGGGTTTCAGACGGAATCTAGATGGGAAGTGGCGAAACAAGTCGAGTGAAATGTAAAATCAGTGGGGAAATGGGGAAACAGGAAAAGTCAATTTGTGAGAGTTCAATATCAGGTTTCAATAAATATCTTTGTATTTATCAGCGATAAATAAATTTTTATGGCGCGTTGTTTGAAGAGCGGAATGCGAGTCATAGAAGAGTCTTCGCAAGAATTTCACTCGTAAGATATTCTCCAAAAACCGATTTCAATGAAATCTATTCGTATTGTTCCGTGTCTCTACTCAGATAATTGATAATTCGCTGATCATGTATAAAAATGAGTGCACCCAGAAGAATGATTTACTTGAATCAAATAAATGAGTTTATTTCAATAGTACGAAATAAAGTTTTTATTATTTCTTTTTTTCAATTTTTTTAACGGAATTTGTTGCAAGTTCCAAGGGACTTGCAACTGGCCATCGCCCGAGGGCCTTGAGCCAAAATAAAGGTTTTATTCCTGATTTTTTATGAAATCATTTTATTGAAAAAAAACAATTTATCATTAGATTGATTTTTTTTTCAATTTGCGGTGCTGTTTATTAAATAAATATTTTTTATTCAATGACGAATCTTGATTTGATTTTAATAAATGATTTATTTGGAATAAAAAAGTTGTTTTCTTGCATACGATAAATTGTTCATTTGATACCATTAAATCCTTTCTTTTGAAACAAGTAAAAAAATTTCAAATAAAGATTTTTGTTGGATTCAAATGAATCATTTTTCGGGGCGTGATTTTAGAAAGAAATGTCACGAGAGCTTTTTTGTTTTTGGTATTCTTAATCGGATAATTAGTAAAGAATTTTTATGCCACTCATGCCTGAAACCGGCTGGATTACACACTCGACGCTTCGCGTCTCGTGTCTAATTCAGCCGGTTTCAGGCTTCGTTACATAAAATTTTGTTCAGTACTTGTTGGGAAATTTCGTCTTTAACGTGTGTGGTTACATCACTCGCCTTCGGCTCATGCTGTAAACCCCACACACGTTAAAGACGAAATTGCCCCACACGTGCTGAAATATACTATTATCATTAAGTAAATTAATTGGTTTCATTTCAATCGCCTTTTTGATAACTATATCGGAATCTATAGGAAATTTTCCGGAGCTGTCGCGGAATTGTTCCAGAGCGTTCCATAATTTTTACCTGAATCTCATGTGAAAAATTACAATACCGTCACATATATTTTCTGAACCGATTCCGTAATCGGTGAGCGAATTATCAGTTCCGTAATGTTTACTGAACATTTCTCTCCGTGCGTTTCACAATTTCTCCACTAAATTCTCCCCAAAATACTGTTTTTGTCGGCCTAGGGAAATTCTGTCTGGTGCAATTTTGATATTGGTTAGATATTTCTCTCACGTGTGCAATTGTACAGCTTCAATTAAACCCATAAAACAAGGGGTTTAAATAATGAATGTGATCATAATTCGCTGGGTTGAGAATGAAAATTTATTGGCGGTGTAACTGGGAATATTGGAGCTGACAATCCTGGAGCTGTAGTGGGTTAATACGGTTGTTATGGCGTCTATAGGGCTTCGAGGACACGAGAATCCCTGAGGAGACATAGAGTGGGTGGTTTGGGTACTACAATGTTGAATTCAACTAATCGAATATTCAAAATCGATACGCTATTTTGCTGATTCAATTTGTATGTTGGGGATAATCACTTCGCAGATGTGATGTGGATTTGCGGATGAGGATGTGAATTTCCCGGATTAGGGGGTGTTTATGCAGTGATTATTAGACGAGGGATTTGCCTTTGATGAGGAGAATGGAATAAGATGGCTCCGTATAATTTGAGGTATTGATAGCGTCAAGGACAAGCCCAGTGAGAGGAACTAATTATCGTCTTTATTTCCGTATTTAATTGGGTTTTTATCTGTTGTTAGGATCTACAGAAATAATGGATTTTACGAGTTTTGTTTCTGGAATTTCATGAATTATTCATCTGGGAAGAGAATGACTCATTGGGGTTGGGAGATGATCGAGGAAATATGGTGGTCATAGTTTTTGCCATTCATTTTGCGGTTTTTAAATGCAGAAATCGAGGGAAAAAGGTGAAATAATAATTTTGGGCCGATTGTTTGGGGAATATCTATGACATTATGGACATTACATGACCTAAAAATAATTCTTTTGACATTTTTGCCTGAATCTTTCACTTTTTTAAATATTTGCAAAATAACATCACTATTGGAAATTTTTTGTTTTAATTTCCGGAACCCTTTTTGGAAATTTTTATCAATTGACAGTTTCATTCAAATTTCAAGATATTTCGTCATTAAAAATTCACGATTTCATGAAAAACTCAATCGAAATATAATTTCAGTTGAATTATTCCATGAAACTTGATAGAAATTAAGAAAATTCAGGCAAAATATTCTTAAACTTTCAGTGACATTAAAAAATTTCAGGATTTCACACGCGAAATCGAGTTGAATATATTTTTCCTGCAAATCGCCATCAAACCATTCATGAAATTTCAATTATCTCGCGACACTTGGAAATGTTTGGCTCAAATTTCCGGACACTTACGGGAAATTTTTATCAATTGACAGTTCAAATGAAATTTCAAGACATTTCGTCATTGAAAACTCACAATTTGATGAAATAGTCAATGGAAGTCAATTTCAGTTCAATCATTCCATGAAAAATCATAGAAATCAGGAAAATTCAGGTAAATATATTCTTGAATTTTCAGTGAAATTAGAAAATTTCATGATCCCCCCCCCCTCCCCCAAATGGAATTGAATATATTTTTCTTGAAACTTTCTATCAAACCATTCATGAAATTTCAATTTTCTTCTAACAGTTGAAAATGTTGGGCTCAAGTTTCCAGTACACTTCTTGGAAATTTTAATTAAGTGATAATTCCATTGAAATTTCAAGATACTTCGTCATTGAAAATTCACAATGCGATGAAACACTCAATGGAAATGAAAGTCAGTTGAATTATTCCACGAAAATTAATGGAAATTCAGGTGAATATATTCTCGAATTTTCAGTACATTGGAAAAATTGTATGATTTTTCCCCCTCAAATCGAATTAAATATCGCTTCCCAGAAAATGACTACTGAAGCGCTCATGAAATTTCAATTTTTTCCGAACAGTGCTGTAAATCTATTCCAGACTTGAATACGATTTTTACTGATCCTAAATCCAGTCATTTTATTAGTGTCAACATACTTGTTCATTAAAATGTAATGAATTATTCATTTTATTACACACCACATTCGCTAATTTAAAAATGACTCATTCGCTCATGATCGAGAAAGAGAAAGGAACGCGAGAGTATGACTTCAAAATTTATTTCGTTATTCTAAATAACAGAACCGAGTTTAAATAGAATCCCGATTTATTCAATTCTCCGAAATCCGGATGGTGGAATCCCAAGCCGAATGTTTTTGCCATGAATAATCCAAAAAAACCCCGTCCTCTTGGTTTTGATATCAAATATTTGGGTTTCAAATTCAAACTTTGTGCATTCATCAATTCCAACGTGGATCACTCCTACTGTGATTCCAGGATGTCGTAATGGTTTGCAAACTTTCAGCATATATTACGGTGTATGAAAAAAACCACTAACTACCCACGTAATAAGTTGTTAAACCATTGGGTGAAAGACGGTATAGTATAACGAAGCCTGATTCACTTCTCAGGGATTATTTTATAGCATTAATTTATTATTTTTTTCGTATCTCACACTTTCCCATTTAAACAATGAATTTAATAATTTTAAACAAATGAGCAAATTATTAAAACAATAACAATTCGACATTTCAACTCGAGCAAAAATGTCAGAAAATGAATATTTATTGATGAGGAATGGTTGGATAAAGTAATTAAATGCAGAAAAATAGTAGAATTTTTTTATTTAATTTTTTTTTAGATGAGTTTTTGCACAATGTCTCAAAATCAACACATGATGACAAATTTTTATTGAAACTTTTTAGTAGAATACTTCCAGAGTTGGAAGAAAATATCTCCATAAAAATTTGATGTAATAGACCAAGTGATGATTTTTGTTATCTGAGAAATTCAATTAAGAGATTAGTCTGTCTAGAATGCTTTAATATTCAAAAAATTAGGGGAAAAAATCATGGAGACAGGCAGGAATCTTCTACAAAAAAGTTCTCACTAAACTTAGATGGAGATATATTAATCCCAAATCTAATGGCAATGTTTTAAATTGAGAAAAAAAATCATTCTGATGTGAGTATTTGTGCGACATCTCAATATGGAACTGAATGATCCATGAAATTTCCATGAAAATGTCTTCTGTAAAATGAAACCAAAGCTGGGAAATAGTTCTCCATGACTTCCTATCATTAAAGTCCATTTTGGACTTAACCGACTAAGCTACCGGGAACCACAGAAATTCACTCTCAAATTCACCTCAAACACCGCCTAACCTCCTTTAGGCATTAAAGAATTCTAAGAGAATTAGAATTTAGAGAGAAAATCATTAAAGTCCATTTTGGACTTTAATGATTTAAAAAAAATCTTGACTCTTTGAATTTTTTATGAAACGGAACAATTATTTTTCCTTTGAAAAGTACACTCTTTTCTTATTCCAATGAGCCTAGAATAAAATCCATCGATCCATTCGTTTCTAAATTATGAAAATTGAAAGACAAGTAAAAAGTATTCATGTTTCAAGTTTTATTTTCTTTCAATCTAAACAAAGATCTAAAGCTTTAAAAGAAATGTCTGAAAAAATTTGTTATCATTGTTTGTTACATTCAACTTTTTTCATCAAATACTCATCTCAACAAGGAAAAAAATTTGAATCAATCAATTAATTTCTAATTGTAAGTGTGAATGTAGGTGTAATTGAATAGAACAAAGCCACGTTAAGCTGGTTATATGGTGTGTTGCAGACACGAGGTGCCAGTCACCTCGGAGCCGATCACGGTGATACACATGGACGAGGACGTCGTCGTGGTCAACAAGCCCGCCTCCATCCCTGTAAGTGGTGTACTGCCAGGACTGTACTGCCAAATGTGTCACGCTTATTGCATCTCTCAGCATATGATCAATTTATTCTTGAATCCTGGACCTCAATTTTCTCACCATTCACACCTCATCTTTCCCATCTAATTCCCACTGCATGTAATATTTTTTTATTCAATCAAGCCTCGCTTGTGCGCAATCCTTCACCTTCTTCGTAATTCACGCTTCTTCATCCCCTGCACTTTAATTTTATTTTTTTACAGTTGCATCATTTCTGCGATTTCATCGTCATGCTTTCGCCTCTCGTTTCCCGTCGAATGCACTCGTGATTTAATATTTTTCTGCAATTTTTTATTTTTTTTAGAGAGATAATTCTGTACCTGGGGAAGAGGTTGGAAATTGAATGCAATTTTTTATGGATTATTGAGTGAATATCTTGGGTGGTAGTGAGTTTACAGGAAAATGCTGAAGGACACGGGGAGAAATGCGCTAGAAAACTTCTAGTGCTGCGGAAATTTGATCGGAAATCCCTAGGAATTTTACCTCAACAGCACTAGAAATTTTCTGAAGAATTTCACTTCATGAAGTTTTTTTGTGAGGATTTTCTTCAGTTGCGAAAAATGTCTTGGGACATGTCTTATAAAATTTAATAGTTTTTTAAAAAGCTGGGAAATGAAGGAAACAAAAATTTCCAATGAATTTAATGTTAACTGTGCAATTATATCCGTAACGAGTGAGAGAAGCTTTCTTACAGCAAAAGTGTTTTGAATAACTAAAAATGGTCTTTGACATTTTCGTATTACTAGACATTTTTGCATTAACCTGCTAGGTCTCAGATAATTCTGTACCTAGGAGAAAGGTTGCAGGTAGAGTTCAATTTTTTATCGATTATTGAGTGAATATTTTTGGTATTAGTGAGTTCACAGGAAAATGATGAAAATTTTTCTTGAAGAATTTTTTCAATCGTGAAAAATATTTTGTGACATCTTCTGAAATTTACTACACTATTGGAAATTTTTGTCTGAAATTTCCGCCACACTTTTTGGAAATTTGTATCGAATTTAATTATCACTGAAAATTCTGAATTTCGTGGAAAAATCAAAGAGAATTCAGTAGCGAACTGGTAAACGGGTTTAAGTCGACTTATCTCTCAATTGAGTTTTTGAGGAATATTTCCGAATCTAACGAAGATAGCGAAATTTTCATAACTACATTTGTTGTAGCTCTCAATCGGCTCTACAAAAAAGCTTATAACAAAAATTTTGCTATCTCCCTTAGATTCCGAGATATTTATTAAAAACTGGTCAATAGTCAAAATTCACTTATACCGTTTTACCACTTCGCTACTGAATTGTAAATTTCAGTTCCATTTTTCCCTGAAAATGAATAGAAAACCAGAAAATTCCGGTAAATATATTCTTGAATTTTCAGGGCAGTGACACTGAAGGTGATTTAGGGGGAAAAAATTATGAAACTTCAGGTTTCACTGAAAATTCAGGGTAATTTGGCACTGAATGCTCATATTAGATTGGAAATTTCAATAAATTAAGGAATTCTCGTCTTTATGCTGCTTTAAATTCTGGAATTCTACTGAATTTTCTGTGAAACCTGAAATTTCATGATTGTTTCCCCTAAATCGCATTCAGTGTCACTGTCCCAAAAATTAGTAGTCAATTGTCCATGAAATTTCATTTTTTTTCTAACAGTGTAGTTTTTAAAATAGTCGGGAAATTCAGAAAACTAATTGACATTGAATGATTGTTTTGTTGTTAACTTTTTATTTGTCCTGCGATTGGTTGATGGCTCAATCAATGATTTTCATGACTACGAAGATGTTATTGTGCGTTACAGCGCTCACTTGAAGGTGGTCGCGCGCGACAGCGCGCATGATTGCCTAGTCGGGAAATAAACGAAACAGGAATTTCCAACGAATTTAATGTTAATTCTACAATTAGATCCGTAACGAGTGAAAGAGACTTTTCTTCTCTAAACAAAACCACTAAAACTTTCTAACGAATGCATTAGGTTTCCCATTAAATGTTGTCATACATGCAATGGCTTTACATTTTCCTCTAAACCCACTAGTTTCCCAAATATTGTCAAAATAATGCATGATTTTTCATTTCATCTCCTTTAACCAGCCATTCACCACAGAATTTGTCCTCCCCGCTATCGCCAACGTAATAAACATGAGGATTAATTATCCCTGTCCGTAGCTCCAAGTTTCGTGGCCACACAAACACATTTTCATGGGCATTATTACAGAAAAGCCACGTGTTATCCGCATTTTTTAAATTCACGTAACCCAGAAGTAAAAGCCTCAACCCCAGCGAAAAAGCAAGTGAAAAAAAAGTGGACGAGATCGCGTCACAGACGGAATTATTTCCAAACGGCCGAGAGACCTCAATGTGACTCAACTGTACAACCCGCCTAGAAGTAGAGGGGCTACCGCTGGAATTGCTAATTAGGATAAACGAGAACCCCGAGCTCTATATACGTGAGCGAGCGCAAAATCATTGTGAGAATCCGCGCGACTGTGATACCCGCGTCGCCGCCCGAACTATTTCCATATTCATATTCAACGGAAATTAAAAAAAAAATTTGAAGAGATTAAAATAAAAAATACGGGAAAAATGGGAATAAAGAATGGACAGCGGGGCAGACCTTGGGGGGGGGGGGGGGGG